GTTGTCCTCCACTTGTAGTGCGCGCACCGAGGCAGTGTGGCCCTCGAGCATGCCGATGCACCGGCCCGCATTCAGATCCCATACCTTGACGGTATCATCCATGGCAGACGTAACCATTGTTCCGAAAGGGGCGTCAAAGTCGAGAGCTGTGATGGTGTCCTGGTGTGCTCGAATTTCCCGGATCGCGGTACCAGGCTCGAAGTGTTCGTGGAGGATAGGCATGGACTTTCGTCGGACCGTTCTCGGTCTCTTCGACTTGGAAGGCGTGCTAGGGGAGGCAGGGATCTTCTCGTACACAGACTGGGACATGAAGCCATCGTCCTCGTGGTCACCCGCGAGATCCAGCTCTTCTCGGGTTGGTGTTTGCTGGGCTATCGTTTCGGCTTCGTCGACAAGTAGCTGCACATCCTCGAGGCGACCCTCCACATCAATCACTTTGAGCAATTAGCATGACGGCAATCCGGGCGAGGGGATGTCGAGGGCGCTCACGATCGTGCTCCAGGATGGCTTCATCCTGCTCCAGCCCAGCCAGCCTCTCCAGGATGATTCTGCGCATGCCGCCCAGGTTCGCAATTTTGATATCAATCTCCCTGATCTCGCTGCTGGCCATGTTTTTGCGGACGCTCAGCATTTCCAGCTCGTGCATCATCGAGGACTTTTCCTGTTTCAGGTTGTGTAATGACTGCGGTGTGCCTGCGGTGGCCTTGCCATCATCAATCAACTTCCTGCCCCTCGACACTCGTCGCTTGTGCTTTTTGCCCTCGTCGGTGAGCTCCGGAAAGCTGGCCTGGAAACCCTGGAAGAGCGAGTACGAGTTGTCGTTTTCAGGTATGTTGACAAGCAGTTCGTCGGGGAGATAGGTCAAGGCACGATGCTGAATCTCCGTCTTGGACAGCTTAGCCCGAACCATCTCGGACGGCGTCGTCCTGGCCATGGAGAACATGCTGCGCTGCATTGTCGGGCGCTTCAACTGTTTGTGGACCTCGGCCATGGCGCTCTGGTATTGGGGGTTGCCAGGCCCTGCCTCAGAGAGGGGCCCCATCAGATGGCTCGCTGTCGTTGTGACCTTGCGTCCGAAAGCTTCAAGGCCACGAGTCTGTGCGATTTCCATCGATCAGTATGCGCTGCTGGCAGTACAATGGCAACTTTGCCTCTACAGGCGCAGCATAGAGGCGGCAGGCAATACTTACAGAGACGATAGGCTGGTCGTCCTCGGGGGCCGTCTCGTCATAGTAGCCATACTGGTGATCGGCGTCGGCCATCCGTGCTCTGGGTGTCGTGGTCGTCGGGGGGGAAGGGAGAGCAGACCACGGGTCGCGAACAGGACGAGCAAAATTTGTGGTGCGCGCGAGTGTTGACGTCGAGGTTTTGCTGTCTTCAACTTGCTTTCGCGTGAAGCCGAAGCCGAATCCACTGCACCAGGCCCGCAGATCGGTAAAGGCCCGGCTTGGGAGCTCGGGCCACCTAGCTTCACTTCATGCGCGTGTGTGACGGCTGAGGCTGGGGCGATGCAAGCAATTGAATGCAAAAAGTACAAGCAGCGCGCGCTGCTCCACCCCGACACACCCTGGAACCCCGCAGCCAAGCAACGGCGGTCACCGAAGCTCACCGATTTCAGCTTCAGGCTCTGGGCCTCTTCGGCTGGCGACAGCTGGGTACACAAGTAGGTGATCACAACGAATACTACCCCACGCCTTTATCATCGGAGCTTCATCGGCGCCGCTTCCTGCCCCTCCACTCCACCCGAAACTCTGACTCGACGCATTGGCTTTGACGAAGTACGCCACGTACGTTGACTCCCTTTCCTCAATTGACCTGCGCGTAACTGATCGGTTCCTCAGTGAGGTCCTTTACAGCGTTTTATGTCCTGGCACTTTCCAGCTCCCGCCGTGATGGACTCTCTCATCGACCTCAACGATGCTTCCAAAGCTTCTCGACCTCAACCGGATCCGGTACCAGGTTGATGTGAGAAACTCCCTCCCACCGTCTCTGTCCTGTCCAGTCGGTAACACAT